CGTGTTAGGTGGACATGACAAGTAGGTGTATCATTCAAGCGTCAGCTGCCCTCATTTTTGGGACCAGGCAATAAGTCACAGAGGATTGGGGACAGCACCTCTTCCCACTCCCAGATAATCTCCAACAAAGCCTCTAGGCCATCCTGTAGTGACCTTTATCTAATACTTGTGTGCTTTGCTGGCAAAGGCCTCAGAAGGATTACTTCCCTTGCTGAAGCTTTTGCAATAACTCCCTGCAATGATCTACTTTTCTCTCCCTACTCTCTCAGGACCCTGGTTCCAGAAGCCTGACAGCTGAGGGAATGAAACATAGGCACGAGCTTCTCAGGGACAGTGGGTAATCTGCTCCTCTGGGGAGTCTTAGGATTGACACCTGCCGAGGATGGCCTGGGCTCTGACCACCAGAGGCAGAGGCAGGTCGAGTCTGATCCTCACCCAACGCTGCTTTCAGCTCAGAACTCCCTGAGCACATGCTGACTGGTGTCACAGATGCATTCAGCTACTGGCAAGAGCTGTGGCTCCCAGGCTGTGCCTCAGATTCCACCTTCTCACTGGGGCCTGGGAACTGTAGGATCCAGCTATTTTTCTGGGGAAACTAAAGCAGTTCCTCTGGTCTTTCTCTGTGTAAACCCTTCCAGATACCAGTAGCCATCCCCCAGGCCTCCTGAAGTTGTCATAGCCCACCACTGGTCCAGCTTCCAAACCCATCTTCCTGCCCCATACTCTGTAAGGAACGATAATTTTCACAGCATATTCTCTTTGTTCCCAAGACTCAAACCACAAACAAGCTCTAAATCCCAAATCAGAACTCCCTATTAAGCATAGACTTGTAGAAGTGGAAAGTTATCCAGGCCAGCACTGTGGCAGGGCCCAAGAAGGGATCCGAAGAAGGGGAAGTCAAGGTCTCTGCCCTCAGAGAATTCATCGTCTAATTCAGAGGTAAGAATTATACACAGGAAACAGCAGAAAGTGCTAAAAGACAACATAAAATAAGAGCTTAGCTGTGTGTTTCGAAATCCCACTCTACCAGGGACATGGGAGCTCGAGAAAGCCACCAACCTCACACTTAAAAAACAACTGTCCTATGACCAGCAAAGCACAGCTTGTAGGAGACAGGAATTAAGAGACTCTCTTCCCTCCCAGAGCTCAAAGTCCAATGAGATAGACAGCGACGGACACAGCCATCTACAGAATACCAAAGAAAACGTTATAAATACCGTGAGGGGGCTACAGAGCGTGGGGAGGGGACAGAGAAGAGAGTTCTGATTAAGAAGACTTGGAAACATTTTTATAGAAAAGGTAAGTATTTAATGTGTTTGAAATGGGTAGAATTTTAATAGATATAAATAAGAAGGAGAGGGTCTGGGGGAAGAAGCAGCATGAATGAAACAGGAAGGAGGAGAAGTGCAAAGTTCAGTTAGTGGACGTCAAGAAGTCCATTGTGGTTGGGAAGTAAGACTATGTGAAACTGCAGAAGTCTGCTTCCCATGGAGGGCCTGGAAGAGCACGTTAAGAATTTTGCACTTGATTTTTATGGAAAAATCGTAACCATTTATTCTTATATGAAACTGTAACCCTTCTTGAGAGGAGAAAATTACTCTAGGGGATAATGTGAAAAATAAATTAGAAAGGATGACTGGAGGCAGAGAGGTGTGTTGACAGCTACATGACAGTCCTAGCAAACAGTAACCAGCTCCTCCACTGCACAGCCGCAGGAAGGAAGGTGAAGAGGGGGAGAGAGAAGTTAGTGTAGGATCTCTGAGCGCCAAGAGACCTCAGGGAGCACATGTCTGCAAGGCGGGAAGCCATCCAGTTCATCCAGTCGTCGCCTCAAACCCCTCCCTCATTTCTAGATAAGGAAGGAAACTGAGACATGAAGTGGAAATATCTTTTCTAAGATCACAGTGAAACTGAGTGCTGGGCCCTGATGAGAACCCAGGGCTTCCAATTCTCCATCCAAGGGCTCTCTGGGACACCAGGGTGAGGGGCCAGGAAAAGCTGCAGGGAAAAGAGGAGGAGTCAGACTGTTCTTGAAAGGGGCACAGGCAAATGCCTGAGCATTGATTCCCACATACCCAGATTCGCAGATTCCCCTCTGCCCATCTGATGGACTTGAGTCAGGAGGTGGAAGGGTGGGGGCAGGGGAACTGAAAACACTAATGGGACCCCAAATGAATTGCTAATAATACCCAAAAAAGGATTGAAACTTCACAGATTTTACAAAGTGTATTTACCTACCTTCCCTACACCATTTACTCCACTGCCACTTCGCCTCGGCATATGTTCATTCTTTCGATCAACAAACCTTACCAGGTGCCTACTACTGTGGGTTCTTTGGCAGCTGCTGGGTTGCAAGGTTGCACAAGACCCCCAGGAGGCGCAGAGCCCCAGTGGTAACTCGCATCCCCTGCCCCTGCCTAGCTGCATCTCAGCCAGGCTGGTTTAGCCTGTTAGCATCTGCAAGTCAAGGCCTTTAAACTAACCATCCCTCTCAGGAGAGTTTCTTAAAAATAACTCAAAACAGTTTGGCAGTACCTCAAAACACTAAACATACCATATGACCCAGCAACCACAGTCCTAGGTGCATGCCCAAGAGAACTGAAATCATATGTCCACACAAAAATTTATACGCGTATGTTCACCGTAGCATTATGCATAACAGTCTAAAGGTGGAAACAATCCAAATGCCTATCAACAGACGAATGGATAAATAAAATGTGGTCTATCCATACAATGGAATTCAGCCTTAAAAAGAAATGAAGTACTGATGCATGTTACAACACGGATGAACCCTGAAAACATTATTCTAAATGAAAGAATCCAGTAACAAGAGGCCACATATTGTATGATTCCATTTATAGGAAATTTCCAGAACAGGCAAATCTGCAGCAATAGAAAGTGGATTAGTGGTTGCCATGGGATGGAAGAGGGCAGAATAAGAAATGACTGCTAATGGGCACAGGGTTTCTTTGGCCCAGATGAAAATGTTCTAAAACTAGATTTTAGGGATGTTTGCACAACACTAAGAAACATTGAATTGTACACTTGAAATGGGTGAAGTGTGTGGCATGTAAATTATATCTCAATAAAGCTCCCTAAAAAAAGAAAAAGAAAAAATCAGAAACTTGACCTGAATGATCCAAATTCTGCCACATGCGGCCAACTTAGAAGACATCTTAGAAGACATGGTCTGTAGCATTATTGACCATGTTCTAGGACTTACCTAAAATTCTGTGGGCTGTGCTCAGCAATGATTTCTGTCACTTTCTAATTCATTTCATTGAGTGAAAAAATATGGCCTGAGACATTGCGGGGGAGAGGGATGATGAGATCATGTATCCAAAACTAAAAGCCTGTAGTAGAACGGGCTGGGCTACAAGCTGCCTATAGGGAGGCCCACTCCGGACTAAAACCTGTGACTAGACCCCCAGAAACCTCAGTCCTCTTTCCTTTGACTCAGAACACATTTTCTGACAGGGTTAAAATACCGCTGAAGCCAGCGTTACCTTCAAAAACCACTGACTCTCACAGATGTCATTAAAGGGGAAATGGCCTATAATTAACAGAAGGGTAATTCATCTGCAAGGAAAGATTTTAAAATGAGAACTTAGTTGTGCAGATGATAATAAATGGCCTTTCAATATCAAGAAATCGCAAAGAGTTTTACGTCTTTTAATTCGTCCCCTCCTCTGCAGGGGAAGGTGTTGCCCCATCTGCAGTTCATCTACCCGCTTAATGCCAAAGGGCTAAGCAGGAACGGGGAGCCTGCCCCGGGGTACACAGGGACCTTTCCTTGCAATACAGACAGGCATCCTCTGGGTCCTGTGGATTTCATCTCACTCAATAGGCACCCAACATCACAACAGAAGGAAAAAGGAAGACTAAGAAATCCATGATAATTGCCCTTAATGATTTGGTCAAAATACGACAAGGAGACTCCCTGAACACTCCATAAGCTCAAAATAGTACCCGTCACACCTGCTAGGCACATCTGCATCTCATGGGAAATGACCGCAAAGGCTTGCGACAGAGTCAAGAACTGTAGAGAATGGGCAGCGAGCAGAACTTCTTCAATCTTATTCTGTCAACTGTAAAGACAGAAGGCTACTTTTTCTATGCAGCTTTTTTTAAAATAAGTATAAGCATCTGTCCCGTCTCCTCAAATAGATTACAAGCTCCTTCAGTGTTGGAACCATTTAGGTACTGGAGAAGCATAGGAAAATAATAAATATTTGACTGGTCAAACATCAGGAGGTTCTCATTTCAAAGTTGGATTCCTTCATAGCATGTCATTAGGAAGTTACTTTATTCTTTTTTTTTTTTCTTGAGGAAGATTAGCCCTCAGCTAACTACTGCCAATCCTCCTCTTTTTGCTGAGGAAGACTGGCCCTGAGCTAACATCCATGCCCATCTTCCTGTACTTTATACGTGGGACGCCTACCACATCATGGCTTTTGCCAAGCGGTGCCATGTCCACACCCAGGATCCGAACCAGCGAACCCCGGACTGCCAAAGCAGAACGTGCAAACTTAACCGCTGCACCACCAGGCCGGGAAGTTACTTTATTCTTACATTAGCTTTTGTGGAAAGCCATTTCTCTCACTGGGGAGTGGGCAATCACCAGTCCTGTTCCATAAGAGACAGGATAACATACGAGTTATGAATGAAGGCTTTGGAATCAGGAAGATGTGGGTTCACACCCCAGCTCAGCTGTTGTAAGCTGTATGACTTTGAGCAAGTTATTTACCCCTCTCTCCTTCTCTTTTTTAAATTATTTTATTGAAGTCACATTGATTTATAATATTATATAAATTTCAGGTGTACCTTATTATATTTCAGCTTCTGTATAGACTGCTTCATGTTCACCAATAGTCTAGTTTTTATCCATCACCATATATATGTGCCCCTTTACCCTTTTCGCCCTCCCCCAGCCCCCCTCCCCTATGATCACCACCAATCTATTCTCCTTATCTATGAGTTTGTTTATCTTCCACATAAGAGTGAAATCATACAGCATTTGTCTTTCTCTGTCTGACTTATTTCACTTAGCACAGTACCCTCAAGGCCCATCCATGTTATCCTTCTCTCAACCTCAGTTGCCTTGAATGAGAACTGAAGATAATATTCCCTGTCACATGGGATTGTTGTGGGTATTAAACAAGATAACATACACAAAATGCTTAGCATAGAGCCTAGCACACAATAAGACCTAAATAAATTGTAGCTTTAAACATCTTCCCTTTGAGACCACAAGGTCACATTCTAACACGAATGGAAATAAAAGCATGAAAAACATGAACAAAAACAGTATAGGTCCTCACGCAATTTGCAAATGCTAACTAAGTAACAGAACACCCTTAATTGCCCTCCCTGATTTCCACAGAGGAAGATTGAGGAGCACAAAGTTCTGAGGTCTTTATCAAATTCATGAATGGAGCAATGTTAAAATACAACCTCTAAAGCCCCTGCTAACCCTAAGATTGGAATCACAGAATCTTAGAACGTCAATGCCGAAAGAAAATTTACAGATCAGTCCAACCCTTCCCTTTTGTAGATGAAGAAAGTCAAGGTCAAAGGGTTAAGTGATTTGCCAAAAATTACCTGGTATGTTCCATGATTTCTTCAAATACATGTTATTTCTAGCCCCTGCATCCTTCCTTTTTCCTCTAATGAACCTCTCTCAATACTCTATCAATGACAGTAGCAATTCGAACTCCAAAGAAGGAGCCTGTGTATCCTACTTCCCAGTGAGATTGAAAGGTCCTTCAGACAAGGACTGTGTCTTTTCTCTCAGTGCCTACAAAATGGGTCTCCAGTGCTCACCAATCCCCACTGATTAACTGATTGACTGAGCAACACAAACAGTTCTCTGTTTGTCCTATAGAAACTTGCTAAGTGCTGAATGAGTGAATGAATACAGAGTAGACCCTACTGTTATGAGCATAATCTTTCTCTCCACTGCATCATCAGGCAGAGAACTGCCCGTCTAACCAAGAAGCAGTTGCTAGGGAGCCCTGGAAGATGTCAACATCTTGGGGGCCACAGCTTTGCTGCTTTCTATCACAACGGCTGTTGTCTTTACCCCCTACCCACTCCACCCTTACTCCCCTTATTTTCCTCTGGGGTCACCAAAACTTTTCTTGGTTTTTGGTTCTAATAGGTAAGAAGAGAGAGAGCTGAATAGCACTCATAAGTCCAGATACAAAAGCAGAAAGAGAATCTTAGCGTGACTCAGCTCTCAGCGTTTATAAACAGACTTAAGCAAGTCCTGACCAGGGTTGGGAGACCCCAAATGGCAGAGCGTGCAAGCTGGAGGGAGGACCACAAGACTCCAAAAGGGAGAAACCCTGTGGAATGCCGATAGGGGTGCTGAATCTTAGACCGGATCAGGCCCCCTTCAGAAGTCACATTTCTTCAGTATACCACAGTTCTAGTTATTTAGGCTTGAAGACTTGGAGTCTCTCCTGACTTCTCCACTGTCCCTGCCCCTCTTCTAATCTGTCTAAAACCCCATCCTTTCTTTTCGTCAATCATCCACCTATCTTCCTACACGTAGTTTGGAACTACTGCATCCAGATCAAAGTCCCTATCACTTCTTACATGGGCCATACATGACTCCTAACTGGCACCCCTGCTCAGACATTCCTCTTTCCAATTCATCCTGTACACTACAGTTTAGGGCGGCTAACTTGGTCCTGGTTGCCCAGAACTCTCCCAGTTTTAGCACTGAAAATCTCATGTCCTAGGAAACCCCTTGGTCCCAGACAAAGTGAGACAGCTGGCCACCTTACCACAGTCAGATTAAAAGCTTTCCCCCAAAGATGCTTTTATCATGTCATTTTCCTGACCAAAATGTTCCCTGCTTTCAATTTCTCATTAAAATAAGCCCTAAAACAGGCCTCAAATCTGCCTTAGAGAATGTATAAGAAAATATATTGGGCTGGGCTCAGGAAACAAGGACCCTAGGCCTGGCTTTCATCACAGCCCTGTGGGACTCTTGGCAAATCATTCAAGATACTGGGGCCTCAGTTTCCTCATCTGTAAAGTTAGGAGACTAAAACTAGATTTCCTTTTTAGGTCCAAAATTCTCCAGTTCTTTTCTTCTGCATACCCTCTGCTCCAGCCAAACTTAACAGCTCCTTCTAATCCAAACACACCCTATAAATTCTCACCTTTGTGCTTTGGTCTTTCCCTTCTCCCCACTAGGACTTCTCTGCTTTCTTTTCTGCCCACCTGAATCCTTTGAGGAGCAACACAAACCCCACCTACTAGGGGAAGCCCAGGCCCAGCCCATGAAGACTCCACATACGCCTGGGTTTTCTAATACTTAGCACTTCTCAGGTCCTGTACCTGGTGTTCAAAAGCTTTTTCTGTGTGAAGTTTCTTTATTCCAACTGATCTAAAATCTCTCTACACTTTTGTGATTCCCTTGCAGAATTCTGAAGACATCATCAATAATAGCTAATGACAACATAATAACTGATTGATGTATGGATACATAGGGAAAAGTCTAACCAAGGGGCTAGATGGGAGACAAAAGTAGAAAGTAGAGGTAAATCTAGAATTTTTTTCACTTTACACAAGATTCTTAAATGCTTCCATAATTCAATAATTCACTTACTCTACAAACATTTATTGAGAATCTCCTATGCTCAAGACACTGCTGGCATGTCATAGGTGCAGAGATGGGGATAAATGGAGGCCCAGGTCTCTGATAGCATCTCTACTCACAGATATCATAAGCTTCCATGTTGTCCGTCACTCTAACTTTGCAGTAAGACCCTAAAAGTCTCAAGTGGTGGCAGCTCCACCATCATCACACCCCTCCTTCCCAAAATTGGTCATGTATCTACTTCTCCCTCTAGCCTGCAGAGCTGTTAAATGAAAAAACATTAAAAATAGGTCAATACATTAAAATACATATTATCTACCTACACAAGCAAAACAGCCTAAAACAAATCTCTTCCGGGAAGTCTATCCTAGCTATCTGCCTAGAATCTCTAATCCCTCCCTTGACAGATTTTGTGAAGTGACTATATTGATACCCTTCTTTGGTATGATTTGACTGTTGTCTTCCATTAGTCTTGGTAAATGACGCATATTAAGCGTGAACTCAGCCTACATCTCTGTCTTTTGGGACCCCCCACAGCATGCACACACACACACACACACGCCCCTCTAATTAAATGGGGCTGGGGCTTAAACAGTGTCACCTATTCTCATGACAAACAGGTTTGTGAGCAAGCGCGGGAAGTAAATCAATCAAACAGTCTGCCGAGGGAGAGGTCAAGCTGTGCTGAGCTGGGCTGGGCCCAGAGTGATTCAGGCTCCACAGAATAGGATGGCCTATTAGGACAATTAAAACCCTTATAAATAGGATGAGTTTTCAGGTCTCCAGCATCCTCTCTTGCTTCTGAATCTTCGGCTCATTCCTCCTTAAGCAGGTAAGACATGCATGGGGGAGCAATGACAGCATCCATAAGGCTCTGGATGGCAGCTACAATGTGCTGGGCTGAGGAGGTCTGAGACTACTCCCTGTGGATGATAGCCTTAGGTACCCTCCTGCTCCTTTTTCTTGCCTCTAAGAATATGATGATAGCTGGAGTAGCCTACTTCTGAGCCTGTAAAGCATACATGCCTTTGTTTCAGCGTGTCCTAGGCATCCCAAAATGAGGACTAGAAATATTGTTGGGTAGCTCAGTCTCCCATTGTGGAGCATTTACCTTTTGTGCAAGTTAGGCAAGACCCAAGAGTTTAGGGCTCATCAGAGCCAAAGCCCTGGACCATGCGGCCACAGTAATATTCAAGTCTTATTGCAATGAATTGCTATAAGGGGCTCAACTTGTCCCATGCAATTCACTATTTGCTGCTCATCCTTAGTCATCACTGCATGATTTGGGAAGTCCACTGTGCTTTGCAATTAGGGCTTCCATTTGGCCTGTAAACCCAGTAACTGAAATTTTCACACCATAAGAAGAAATATCATTGAGATCTGAATCCCAAAAGACCCCAGCCTCCCAGCATGGCCAATGTGAACCTACTTGATTGTATATACTTTCTATCATCTAGACAGTTAATTCGGCTTGCTATTTTTATCTGTAACAGTTTTTGTATTTACTGATTCTACTCTATAAGCACATCCCAAAATGACAATCCAGGCAAGAAGTACTTGTTTTAACCTCCCAGAAAGCTTCCTTGGCCCATGACCAAAGACCTCTAGCCTTCCTACCCAACTTGAGTAAGGTTCTTAGAAGATTGAGGCCTATTCAGTGGGGTCTATTTAGTGCCTCCTCCAGGGTGCTAGTCGTTGGTGGAAAATTATGCCTTACTACACTGGCTTCTGACCCTGTGTCTATGGGCTTCCTGACCTCCTTTCCTTTTTGTTTTAATATGAGAGTTTCAATAACCAAGTCCCACCTGGAGTAGAGGATAGGGCGTGTAAAACACCTACTATGTATTTTTTGTGTTTTAGGAAATTTCTCCTCTTTCTGGCAGGGAATCCATAGTTTGTACCCATCTCCCACTGTCATACACGATATTTGGAGCCTGACTCTGGGTCAAAGGGAGTGAGGAGTATGGCTAAAAAAGGGCTCATCATTTCTTAAGCTTCTTTTTCTAACCAAGAGGGGCTACTTTCTCTCTGGAAATGTTGTCTTTGGTCTTCATGCTAAATACAAAAAAACTCTTGTTTCTTCTTTTAGGTTCACCCATCTCTGCCAAAATGGCTCAACTCCTGAACAGCATACTCACTGTGATCGAGGTGTTCGAGAGAAATGCTAAAGAGAATGGGGACAGTGCCTCACTGTGCAAGGAAGAGTTAAAGCAGCTACTCTTGACTGAGTTTGGAGACATCCTCCGGGTAAGATGCATAGACTCTAGGCCCCGTGGAGTCAAGCGTGAGTGATTCTGACATCTGCATCCAGGGCTTGATGGTTTTTTGTTTTATTTGGTCATGCTCCACCCTGTAATGAAAAGAATTTCAGGCAGTTCCTTCAAAATTCTCTCCCAGCACACGCATATGTATGCATAGGCATGCTCACACATATAAGTGCACACACACCACACACACCTCTCCTCACATCTGAGCTTGAACAGGAGGGAGTACAACTTCAAACTGGAAATCATCTCTCAAAAGAAAATCTAGATTCACATTTTGATTTCTATATTTTAGTGCTATTCACACATCTTCTCATTCCTTCATTCATTTATTCAATAAAGAGTCGCTGGGCACTTACTCCCTACCATCACCATCCTAGGCACTGGGGATACAAACATGAATAAAACCAGTTTCCCCTCCCTCCAGGATCTCACAGTGTGGTTGGAAAGATGTAGGTAAAAAATTAATTACAATATAGCATGTGATAGGAGGGGATAGCTTTCTCAAATGACTGAAGTTAATTATTAATGGAGCTGATTTTAAATAAGTGTATCTACTTCCCTCTGGTCACGTTCCCATTGGTCCAGCAAGGGACAGGGTTCTGAGAGCCAGCCGATCAAAGGTTGGAACCAAAACTAAGCCACTTCAGATTAATGGGTTCTCAACTGAGGAAGGCTCATCCAGAACTGAATGGACTGGGACATGGACATTGGCACACATCTTACTATCCGCAGCAGAACATCTGATTTTGCTCTTTGTTTTATCTTCTCACAGAGACCAAATGACCCAGAGACTGTGGAAACCATTCTGAGCCTCTTGGATCAAGACAAAAATGGATGTGTTGATTTTCGTGAATATCTTTTGTTGGTGTTCCAATTGACCCAAGGCTGTTATCATAAGCTGGGTAATGTGTCATGTGGAGAAAGAACCTCCCAGCAAGAAGGGGAGCAGGTTGGAACAGTAGACCATAAGTTTCCAGGAAATACAGACAGACAACACAGGCAGAGGCATGAAGGAGAAAGGCAGGACTCCCACCGCAGTCAGACTGAGAGACAAAATATCTGCCAGGATCAGGCTGAGAGACAAGATAGGAACTCCCACTATGGTCAAGCTGACAGACAAGATAGGAACTCCCACTATGGTCAGGCTGACAGACAAGATAGGGACTCCTACTATGGTCAGTCTGAGAGGCAGGATCAGGATTCCCACTATGGTCAGACTGAGACACAAGATAGGGACTCCTGCTATGGTCAGTCTAAGAGACAAGATCAGGACTCCCGCTATGGTCAGACTGAGACACAAGATAGGGACTCTTGCTATGGTCAAAGATTGAGTCATAAATCTAGCTGTGGCCAGCCTATAAGACAAGGATATATCTTTGCCTTAAATAAATATGAGAAACAAGTTCAGGATTCTCATTATGGCCAGTTGAAAGATTTGGACAACAATTAAGCTGTGGCCATTCTGGAAGAGTTAGAGAAGACTCTCATTCTACCCAGACAAACCAACAAGAATCAGGCTCTTATTATGGACAGTCTGGGAGGCTGGGCCAGGAATCAGACTGTGGTCAGAGAAATAGGCAAGAATTGCATTCTCAATATAGGCAAACAGACAAACAAGGCCAGAGTTTCCACTATAGTCAGACAGACAGACAAGGCCAGAGTTCATACTATGGTCAGACAGACAGACAAGGTCAGAGTTCCCACTACAATCAGACAGACAGACAAGGCCTGAGCTTTCAATATGATCAGACAGACAGACAAGGCCAGAGTTATCACTATGGTCAGACAGACAGACGAGACCTGAGCTCTCAATACGGCCAGACAGACAGACAAGGCCAGAGTTATCCTTATGGTCTGACAGGAAGACAAGGCCTGGGCTCTCAATATGGTCAGTCAGAGACTGGGGAAACTGGACACTTCCAAGGGAGCGAAGGAACAAGCAGAGACTCATATGTTGAGCAATCAGGAAGGTCAAGACGACCAAGTCAACAGACTCAAGGACAGGAAGTAAACCTAAATCAAGAACAGAGATTCCAGTCCAGGGAAGGGCTGCAGAACAGCCGCCAGGCTTGGGAGCCTGAGGAAGATAGCCAACACCACCAACACAAACTTGTAGTACAAATCCAGCAAGAAAGGCCACTCTGTCACAAAGGGAGGAACTGGCAATCAGGCAGTAGTGAGCAGGGCCACAGACAGACCCAGACCAAACAGAGTCGTGGTGAGGAGCAGCGCCACCAGACAGAGGAAGAGCAGGGCCGCCGAAGCTGTGGTAGACATGGTTGTGAGGGTCAGGAAAGTCCACATGAGGTGCAGGACAGGCAAACCCATGAAGATGAGCTGAACCGTCAGAGACGAGACAGGCAAACCCATGAAGATGAGCAGAACCGTCAGAGACGAGACAGGCAAACCCATGAAGATGAGCAGAACCATCAGAGGCCAGACAGGCAAACCCATGAAGACGAGCTGAACCGTCAGAGGCCAGACAGGCAAACCCATGAAGACGAGCTGAACCGTCAGAGACGAGACAGGCAAACCCATGAAGACGAGCTGAACCGTCAGAGGCCAGACAGGCAAACCCATGAAGACGAGCAGAACCGTCAGAGACGAGACAGGCAAACCCATGGAGATGTACAGAACTGTCAGCAACAATGGGATAGGCAAACCCATGAGGAGAAAGAGAGGTATCAAGGGTCCCAGCATCAACAATCCTATGGGACTCAGCAAGGCTGTTCTAACAGGGAAAAATTCCGCATGAGTGAGAATGACCAGAGCCAAGGTTCCCAGGGAAGACACAGTGACCTGGCCTTCCATCTACCCCAGAGCAGTGGGAGTTCCCAAAGAAGAGAACAGGGTAGAAGTCACCCTAACAAGGCAGCCTTTGCTCCCAACCCCCTCTATGACTATGTACAAGAGCAGAAAGCGCAAGGGCACTAAACTGTGTGAGCACCAGAGCTAAAGCAACACGAAGCTGAGGAAGAATCTGCATGTCAAGTTCATCCTTACCTCTGTTTAAGAGATTGAAAATGTATGTTTTCCTTCTCTCCTCTATCTATTTGCAAGGATACTTTTGAAGACTAGCATTCACTTTTAGGGCATTTCAGCTCTTTAAGCAGCAATTCTAGGGTTTTCCAGCTGGGTGAAATCTGAGTGGTAAATTGGGTGAAATAATCAGATCCCAATTTTGATTAATTTGGGGGATTTAAAGCATTTCATGGTTTTCCCTCTGTGTAGGTGGGACCTGGTTGGATCATTGAAGGTAGAAACTTCTCCCAAAAGTTCAGAAACAGGAAAGGTAGTCTGAGGATATACATTATAGCCCAAGGAGAAGCCACCTGGGCTTTGGCGAGCTTTGGCTCCTGTGGATAAAACATCAGGTATTGCAAGCCTTATAGTCTACACTAAAATGAAGCACAGTGAGAGGCTGCTAGGAGAACCAGAGGCCACAGAGGACATCTTTGATGCTGACAACACCTCCTGCGCTCAGGCTCCTACTCCTCACTGGAGGAACTGTTCAATGAGCTACTATCACTAGAGCTGACTGGACCAATTCCAGCTCAATGCCTTTCTAGTTTCCGGTCACATAAAACAGAGAGAAAGCGTATGTCATCTGTTTGCAGTTTCCAAGGGGCCAAAACTTTAAATACATAGCTCCTGGGACCTGAAAACCCTTCAACAAGGAAATCTATGGAAATGTGTTAAAATACCCAATAAATGATTGGTGAGCAATGATCTCGATCACTCTTTTCCTTCCTCACTACGGGGCCATGCTATCTCCATTTGTGGGCCATTTCCCAAGAATAAGACCTCATTTCTCAACTTCTAAGATCTCTTTATTCTTTTAGTTCCTGGGCACTGAAAAAAATAAGAATCAATATGAAACAAACAACAAAGAGTCAAAAAGAATTTAACTAAATATCATTCTCGGCTTCTTCTCCCACAGGGGAGTCACATTTGACCTTTCCCCTTCATTCACCTCCACATTCAAATGGTCATTCAGTCTTGCCAACTCCACATCCTCCATAACTCTTAAATCTCTTCCCACTTCTCCAACTCTACTCCCTTAATCTCCCTTCTCTTCAGTGCCTCCTAGTGACTTTAGGATAAAGTTTCATGACTTAGTATGGCCTATAGGCCCTTCACCATCCGACCCAGATGACCTACCCAGCCTAGTGTTGTGAAAGTCTCCTCCCAGGAGCATCCAGTGTTCCAGCCATGCCATGGATTTGGCCTTTTCTTCATACACCATGGTCTTTCATTCATTCATATCTTTGAATATACCGATCCATAGCCTGGAATACCTCCCCTCCCTTTTCTGCCTGGCAAAACCGTAGGCATCCTCTGTGTCCCAAGTAAAACACCACGTCTTCTGAATAGCCTTCCTGGACACCCAAGCACTCTTCTCTAAGTTCCCACTCACTTCTGTTATATCATTTGTCACACACTCTATTTTCATTATCTCCCCTATCAAACTGGGACTAAAACCGGATCTTACTCTACCTTGTACTGCTCAGCATTTAGTGCAGCCACTGATGTCTAGTGCACTCATTAGTTGTTTGTTTTATAGGTGGGCAGATGGAAGAAATAAGTCTGGTTTTGGAATAAATTCAAATAAACATTTATTGGGCCTCTACTGTCTGTTACATAGACAGGAGAGACTGAATAAGGCCCTTGTTCAGTAAGAGCTCAATGAATGAAACAGTAACCTTTTTAGATATCATAAGCAGAAGGAGATTTAATGCCTAGAATTATAAGAGCTGAATTATTAGAAATCAACAAGTGACCCCTGGAACTATTGAGTTCAAGGCATCACTAGAGCTGTGATCCAGGATCAGAAATCTGAGATCCAGAAGCTGCTGGTACAGTTGCCAAAACTGCCTGTCAACATCCACATCTCCATATCATGTAAACACATCTAATTAGAAGAACATAATTCACATCCAGAACCCTAGCTGCAAGCGAGACTAGGAAATACAGAAGGAGATAAGAACAGATGCTGAGGGCCATTGGATCATAGTCACCATAGGAAGTATATAAAAACTTATAACAACAGCCCCTTTCCTCAAGGAGATTGCAATCTAGGAAGAAATATGTGTACATCAAACAACCATGAAATAAGGCAAGATGTCATAAGTACAAGAAAATTGCTGTCATGGCACCAAGAAAGAGTAAGTAACTCTGTCTGGCAGGATAGAGAAAGGCTTTCGTAGAGGAAAGCACCTAACCTAGGGCCATGATCCCCAGGGGAGAGGGGATGAGAAGGGTCACAGGTTGTCCTGGGCCTTAAGCTCAATGGGGATGCCCATATGTTGGCTGCTGTTTAAATGGCATAACTGTTCAGGGGTAAGATGGGTCTTCTTCACAAATGTTCTCTGTAACTTAGACCTTCCCAAGATAGGTAAACCAGAGGATGGAAAATAAACTGAAAGGTGAGAGAGCTCAAAATCTGGGAGTTGCTCAGGGTTCACGGAGGCTCTCAGTGAGTCGCCTGGCAGTGAAGGGTGGGAGGGATTTAGGCATTCTAGGCAGAGGGAACAGCATGAGTACAAGACGGAGAAGGAAAGTTCAGGAGTGTTTGATGAAGCAAAACGTACATACATAGAACACTAAAGAAAGAAAGTAGAGAGAGTCAAAGCTGAAAGGATGAATTGATCTAGATCATGGAGGATCTCAAAGTCCACCATGAAGAGGTTTGGAATTTTCTTCTGTTAATAGTAGGAGCCAGGGGCCCACCTGGTGGCGCAGCGGTTAAGTTTGCACGTTCCACTTTGGCAGCCCGGGGTTCGCTAGTTTGGATCCTGGGGGCGGACATGGCACCACTTGGCACACCATGCTGTGGTAGGCATCCCACATATAAAGCGGAGGAAAATGGGCATGGATGTTAGTCAGGGCCAGTCTTCCTCAGCAAAAAGGAAGATTGGCAGCAGATGTTAGCTCAGGGCTAAACTTCCTCAAAAAAAAAAAAAAAAAAGTAGTAGGAGCCACAAGAGTTTCTGAGCAGAAAATGAGAGGATAAGAGGAAAGACTGGCAGAGGAGATGTTTGGGATGGAGAGAAACAGTTAATATAAGAATGGAGTTAGGTGAATTTGATCTGTGTAATTTCCCCATCACAGGTACAACTTAAGCCCATGCAGACTTTGGAATATTGCAGACTGGAGGGCTATGCAGGATCCAAGGCCGAAAGCCAAAGATCAGAGAGCGGTCTGGGTGGGGGGCACTCTCAAGAGGGTGTGAAAGGAGGGAAGAGTCATCCTAATATGCCACAGGCTGACCAGAGGTGGGCTCCACAGCTGGCAAAAAAAGCAGCTCTCTGGATCTAAGCCATAGGCAACCTTCTGAATTTCCTCAAGTGAAAAGTCCAAACAGACGCCCATCCCCCTTGAGCACGGTCTCTACTCTCCAACTCTGAAAGAATCACACAAACTGCAAAGCTAGTCCACAGTACTTCCTCCAAACATACCTACATCAGAAAGACATCCTTTCCTCATAGAAACTGACTTTTATTTCACTGCAGCCCAACTTTCTTCCTCTATGGCTCACTCCTCAGCTGCCTTCTCCTCTTTTCTAACTACAGGTTGTCTTATCCAGTCCCATGGCTTTAAATATCACTATTTCTGACTCTCACATCTTCATCTCCAACCTACCTATTTCCTAAACCCCGGACTCATATACCAAATACCTACTTGGCTTTTCCATTTGGACATCAAACAACATCTCAATCTTAGCATTCCCAAACACAACTCTTGACTTAATCTGTTTCTCGCTCAATTTTCCCCATTTCAGTAAGTTGGTAGCACCATCCACGTTGCTCAAGTAAAAATTTGAGAGACAGTCTTTATCATAATCATTCCTTCCCTCCAAATAAAACAGTAAGTCATTTTGTTTCTATCCCAAAATGCAGTGTAGCCTAGATCCACCATTCTTGTCATCTCTACTCCTACCACCCTCATCACCACCATCTCTCTCCTAGAATACCCCAATAGCTTCCTGATGGGGCTCACTACACCTTTATAGCATGTAAACCACATCGTGTCACTCTCCTGCCTAAAATGCTTGGTACCTTCTCACCACACCAAGAGTAAAATTCAACATTCTTCCCAGGGCCTTCCTAGGATGGGGCCCTGCTAGACCTCATCTTGCACCACTCTCCTCTGCATTCACTGTTTCCCAACCACTCTGCTCTAAAGGATCAGTCCCCCAATCACTACCACATACCCCTCTTTTTGTTGTTGCTGTTCTTAGCACTTTTCACATCCGATAGTTTGTTTTTGTGTTACTTGTTTGTTGTCTTTTTCCCCCTACTAGAACTTAAGGTCCATAATAACAAGAATTTTGCTTGTCTTGTTTGCCACTGTACCTTCTGAATGGAAAACAGTGGCTGCTCTCAGTGCATGCCCAATAAGTATATCTGTCAACCAAATGCTCATAGAAGCATTCCATGATCTGGCTTCAGTCTACATTTCCAACTGGGTTTTTACAATGCCCCAATTTGCCACCTAGACTCCAATGTTGGACAACTTCCCAGCCTCCAAACCTCTGCTTATACCATTTGCTCCGCTGAAATGCTCTCCTAATCTTCACCTGTAGAATCCTACCCATTCTACGAATTAGCAACATCTTCTGGACCCATCACCAGTACAGAACTTACCACATTGCACTGAAGTCAATTTTAAACCCATGTGTTTCCTATAACAAGCTGTGAGGTCCCAGCAGGCAGAAAACTGCATCTTATTCACAATTGTGTCTTCAGCACCAAGCGCAGTGACTGGCCAATTATACAGAAAGAGACGGATTTAGACTAAAAAGGCCTGTATTTAAGACCTAGCTCCACCACCTACTAAATTTATGATCTTAGAAAAACTTCTTTATCTCTTCAAATCTCAGTTTCCTCATCTGTAAAATGGGGTTAAAAATTCCAATAGTTCCTTAAAAAAAATTGAGATAACATATACAAAGTGATTAATAATCTGATATCCTTTTGCTTATTTAGTTGGTTTTTATTATCTTTTCCCCTTTTGCATTATTTTAATAGGAGCTTAATAAATGTTTATCATATTATTGAAAAGCCCAGTTTAAGTGCCAGCTCCTCCAAGAAGCCTTCCTTGATTCCCCTTCCTCTCAGACAACAGTAACCACTCCTTCATCTTCAAGCAATGTCTTTGGAAACTTTCCATGACCATCATCACAGTCTAGATTATTGTAGGTATCAGTGAACATTCCTTGCTCCCTGACTACATTAGAGGTTCCTTCAGAAAAAGGTTCATGCCTTATCCTTCACATAATTATCACCCAGAATACCTCAGAACAAGTACTTCGTGAGTGCTTGTTGAATCAAATTCAACTGAATGGACTCTCTCCACTACATCACAACTCTTTCCTTCCGTACCTGACACCACCATTCTCTGGTCATTGTCTGCTTCTGCCACTAGTGCGCTTCCAAGCATCCACTTCTCCCAAGACCCAATCTTTCTCTCTCTCAGACTTCCTGTGTCCGTCCCCCC